AATAATAATAATAAAAATAATAATAAAAATAATAATAATAATAATAATAATAATAATAATAACAATAATAATAACAATAATAATGATAATAATAGAAATAATAATAATAATAATAACAATAATTGCTTTTTGTCACCAATATTATTTACAATTAAGACTAAAGAATTAAATAAAATTATTATCAATAGAAATCTAGAAAACTAGGTGTAAACATTTATTTTGGGCAGATGATGAATCTAAAAATGGAAAATGTACTAATAACAGGGAAACACACAAACCAATACAGGAAATGGAATCTTGGACAGTGTTATATCTCTGAATTAATTATAAGTAACTTGGTATATCTCCCGCTCAACCTCTAACAAATGCCATATTGATGAAGTCGTAAAGAAAGGCAACAGAGTCATAGATTACATTAAATAGATCGTTAACGAACATAATTTCAATCGAGTTTGCAGGAAAGTCTTGCTCTGGAAAGTGGTGGGCTTACCAACCATTAACAATGCATGCACAATTTGGTTCTGAAATGGCAAGAAATAATTGAAAACAATATTTATTAGGCAAGAACAATTTGCCTGGATAAATTCGAAACTAGATCAAACTCTTTGGATTTAAAGGACCGTAAAGAATCTTGGTTCAACCAAAACTCAAGGATATGTAAAATTATGCAACTGTAACCTTAAAGAAACTATTCACCACTTCATTTTTTTTTACAGTAATAGCCTACAAGATATTAACGATAATGTATTTAAGGAATTAAAAGATGATCTTTGTAATAACAGATTACAATTATTTTGGGATACCTTCGAAAAAATGGATCAAATGAACTTTAACTTCATTTGCTCCTTGATGACTTAACTGTACATGTTTCCCATAAACTACGGTATCTAATGGAATTGAAAATCACAAATATCAAGAAGCAGAGCAAATTTTTGACCAATATTTTAAAAAAATGTTTCACTTTGGCTAGGGAAAAAAATTGCATTATACAATTTAATAAATACCCATCCCAAAATATTATTGTCTCCTAACGAAATTGTATTGAATGATGTACTATATTTTTTATATTTTACATGTTAGTGTTTAGGATTGTTTTCTTTAATTTGGTAAATGTTTGTATTGACCGATTCATACGTTCTGTATATGTATTTTGTATAAGGAAGCACCATTAAATTGATGTGTGCCGCTGATTTTATAGCAATTCCAAATAAAATCTGAAAATCTGAACGAAGAGGCTTTCTACCTGCTTATCAACTACTTCGTTTTGTTTTTTAACCACCAGGGTCATGTACGCACCAACTGGAGAACACGCTGGTTCGTTTTATCGGCGAATGAGCTACAATATTTTAAAAAGAAGGAAGATGACGTTGCAGCCGGTATTGTGTCCTTAAGGGGATGTTCAGTGATTTCACCGGTTCCTCAATACACAAAGAAAACAGTTAGTGTCGTATTTACCAACCATTTATATTATTTATTTAGTCCTATAATAGGCCTTTTATTGTGGTATATACTCTTCTCACATTATTATAGTGTGTCATAATCGTAGCAGTAGGTCTAGCGGTAGTGGTTGTATAATTATTAATATAAAGTGCATTATTAATACTTATATTTCGATAAATGTTCATCCAGCCATGGAGGAAATATATTATTTCCTCCATGACCCAGCATACTGTAGCCCTACCTGATTATTTAGAACCACGTGGAATTAATTTATGAAAACGACCTATTTATATGGCTTATAATAATACTTGAAATCGATGGTAAAGAATCAATTTATTTCAAAACAAATAACAGAAATATCTGCAAATTATAAATTAATATAATAGTATATACTTTAAAACTATAATTACGGCGTGGCCCTAATAAAAAAAAAATCTCGGATATATTGATTTATTGGGCTACAAAGTTTGATATGCATTTCTACTATTATAGGCCTACTATTTTTATTTTAGGATGTTTTTCAAATTTCATCGAAGTCAGGCCAAGATCTTCTCATCCAAGCTTCAGGAGATAAAGAAAGAGAAGAATGGGTAACTGCAATAAGTGATGCTATTCGAGCAATTGATAGTGTTGCAAACGGGGAACAAACAGGCAGTGAATCACTGAAAAACAAGTAGGTCTAAACTCATGAAAAAAAAATGTATATTCAGAAGGTGGTGACTTTGAAGACCAAGTGAACGCATATCAGTTTTTTTTTTCAGTTCATGCGTCATACCTCATTTTAGAAGTCTTAAAAGAGAATTAGATCAAGTACAAAAATATTAACAAAATAATGTATCTCTTACAAGTTAGATTCACACCTGGAAATATCTTACTAAAGTCTTATAGTTATAATAATAGTATAATCCAGAGGTATTTACCAGTGTAGTCTGGTTTGCGGTCCCTTAACGTAGAGATGTCATTATTGGACTATTAATTTAACTTAACAAGTTTTCGTATAATATGAATTTAATTATTACTTCCTTTAGTGATCTTATAACTGCCATGCAGGATCCAGGAGGCGGCATCACTCTTGAAACGCATGTTATTGACGGAAAGAAGTATCATCATTGTTTTACAGGTAGGCTGTGGGTCTATGAAAACACGATCGGAAATACTTTTAGCATAACGTCTACTAGGAAACACTCTCTTGCGCATGCGTAGTTTGATAGCACTACTTTTGATGCATAACAAATACAGTATCAGAGCATAGACCTATATCAGAGATCAATATGATACGCCCTTTTCTCATAAGCCTTTAATCAATTAGGCCTAAATAAGCCTTTGAAACCCCTAAATTGCAGAGTTTTGTTAGGCCTTTGCCTCCTGGACCACTTGCGGAATATTTTGAGCGATTTCAGACCACGCCCACTTTTCTCTCGTCGGGGACCAGGGAACCCCCGTCGGGCAAATCCTGCCGCCACCCCTGACTTATTTGAAGAGCACTAGTCGAATTTGACGAGAAGACAGGATCTCAGAAAAGAGTTAAGCTTATATATATTATATAAAATTCATCAAAGGAAGATTTATAATATATAACAGTGCCGTGTTAACGGCTATCTTGACTAGATGTGTATAAGAGACAGGGATACAATTATATTATCATTGTTCGTATTCGAGCAGTTGTCGTTGTTTATTCCCCTATCTTTAACTTTAGTTTTTTATTGCTCTTCGTTGCTGTTTTTATTTATTATGGTTATCGTTACTGCTATTAATATTGCTATTATTACTTTTTTTTTTTTTTTTTGCATCGTAGAAGTATAAACCGTACTTAACCACCGTGGTTTTGAGTAGGCAATAACTCATTTTTTTTTTTTTTTACACTAGGACAGGACGTCGTTGACTGGCTTTTAGAATGGTCATTTGTATCGAATAGGACAGACGGTGTCCAACAATGCAACGAATTACTCAAACAGGCTCACCTCCAGACACTAGAAAGCGGTAACAGATTACAAGACTTGAGCACATTTTATGATGATCCAAACACCCTCTACCGATTTGTAAGTGTCTGCAATGTTCGTAAACTAATTATATGAATGTGCCATTATAAGAGCACATCGCCGCCCGGTTGACATATTTTAGTAGATATTTTGCATCAAAGTCGTCTTTGATGCAAAATGTGTTAACTGAAGCTAAAGATAGGAGAATAACCCAACTCACAGCTTTGTGTATGTGCTTGGTCTATGATTACTGAAGCAGACGTAGATGCGATTAGTATAATAATTTCATATTCACATCATTACCCCAAAGTGATAGAGGCTGAAATGCGCCAGAGCATACACTACACACTTGGTTCTTTATAAATACGTCAGTCATATGCGTAACACTGGAACTCCGGTTTTAAGTCCTTGTTGTCTCAGAAGACTTGGTCCTACCGACATGATCCTACCAACCAAAATTTTTGATTGAATTAAAATAAAATTTAAAACATTAAGTCACAACACAGAAGGGTTTTAACTCTAGTAAATTAAGTTAAGCCTACCCTAAAGTTTGACGTTAGAAAAGTAAATGCTATTTCGATGTGTTTGCAGTACCCACTGCTACTCAGGGATCGGATTCAACACATTCTGAACAAGTGTGACAGCGCAACTCAACATTTCTGGATATTAGCGCTATATAAATATTTTGATTGATTTGATTTTTTTAGCCACTAAGCACAAGATCGGTGGACTAGTGGTTATGACACCAGGCTAGTTATCTAGCCATAATTTATGGAGGAAATGGCAATTGAATTGCCCCAAAACATCTCCATAATAAACTCTGTTAAAATTGTTTAATGGTAGCAAATCTATTAGGCTACCCCGTGAATTTCTGGTTTGATAAATCTAGTAGAATTCCCAATGAAATAGTTAATGTTGGCAAATAATAGGCTGTAGTCCATGAAAGGATTAGATGTTGACAGATCAAACTACCTTTGAATTTTGAATTCTGGGTTGGTGTTGGTTAATAACAACTCCCTGGTTAATCTAGGCACCTCGGAAAATCTAGTATAGGCCATGCCGTTGAAGGATTTGACGAGGCACATCTAGTCCACATTAGCATACCCCGTGGGTTTGATGTTCGCAAACCTGGTATAAGCTCCTGACTGAAAGGTTTTGTTGGTATTGGCTACCTAGAGAAAATATTTGATGTATGAATAACTAGTAGGGATTTGTGAAATGGTTGACGTCAAATCCAGTATATTCTGTAAAATAAACTAGGCCTACATAGTGGGTAAAACGATATGGTGTATATCTATTATTGATAATCATATTGCATTCAGTTTTTATCATAAATATTATTTGCTTAAGATGCCCCTAGAGACACAAAATGCTCCACATCGTCAGAACAAACAACTCACAGCCTATACGGTAGTGTATGATAACGTTTTAATTATGTTGTTATTGCGCTTGAGTTCACTAAGTATATCTGTTTTAGAGAAAATAACTCGCTTATAAAACATTTTCTTGTGGTTTTTCTTGTAGTCGGCCTTCATAATGAGCGACATTAAAGACCTATTAAGCATTAGCAGTGATGAATCTGAATCAGATGACGAAAACGAAATGAAAAAAGTCAAGCAAAAAGTTGAGTTGCCTGCAAAATTACTAAATGGACCTCCAGGAGGCAAGTTAATAAAACAAGGCTTTTTAATGAAAAGGGTATGTTTTCCAGATAAACTGAGTTATATTAACGATAATGGTGACAAAGACGATGACGATTGTTCTAATAAAATGTAGTCGAGAATGAGGAATGGTAATGTGTGATGACGATGCTATTATAATTTTGTTTTCTAATTTGAAATAAATGTTGAAATAAATGAATTGAATGATGGCGATGACCATGTTGATGACGATGGCGATGAAGCCATGGCAATTCATGGTAATAGGCCTAACTACGATGGGTGGGTGGATTTATTTATTCGGTATGAAACATCAAGGATAATCCACAAAAGTCCGAAGATAGCTTATTTCCAGGGGGTCCTTTTGGTAATGATGGGCAGTAGGCCTACACCGGGATACAATAGGCCTACCCCTTTTTTCAGAAGAGTGCACTTTAATGGGCGACATGGACCACCAACGGCTTAACCGTCTCATCTCTTCCAAAAGACGGTACACTACCTTGTATTTATAGATTAAAATGCACATTTTATTGACATTCTGGTATATGATTATACCATGATTATACAATCATATATCTTCTTCCATTTTCTATTCTTGCACCATTACGTCGTGGAATTGTAGCTGCCTAAGCAAACTTCATACCATGTAAACAGTCACAATTGAATCGATGAGTTCATAATATGAATAATAGATGTTCAAATAATGAATATCCTACGTGCAGGTAGAGCAAATTTGTATTTGTCCTGTTATTTCATTATGAAACGTACACCCCGCGAATACGTACTAATCATAATACTTTTTATTTTCAGGGCCACGTACGCCGGACATGGAAAGCTAGGTTGTTCTTATTATGGGATAAACCCCAACTATTACAATATTACAGAGGGTCAAAGGTAAGTAGGCCAATTCAATAGCACTATATCAGATCTTAAACTATAAACAATACCTTTTCACTTCCAAACAAGAAACACCGAAAGTGACAATGAAGCCACTAAATTAGTAAAACTGAATAATTTTAACAGGGATATATTCATACTTCTTTTAACAAAATAACATTTAAATACAAAAAGTGCATTAAATTAAAAATAAAGCATACAGTATGTTATTTTTTTTGTGGTAACTATTTCAAATACCTTAATTGATTTGTAAATCAATGTTATTAATTGAAAGCCAAACCTATTTAAAACCCAAGCAACTTTATATATTATATTATCGTCATTATTATTCCCTTTAAATGCATTAATGACACATACTAACATATTGAAATCATAATACCTTCGATACATTGAATAAAAAGGAAGTCCGAAAAGAAAAAAAATACAAGTGAAACATCAGCTTTAACAGAGAACTATTTTGAGGTTTTATGTATGGCTTTACGATCTTCTTTCCGCAAAAGAAGTTGTTACGATACTTCAAGGAAATCACTACGGTAATTTTAGAAGAGCTAACACGTTATTATTTATATTTTTAAATTACAGATTAATGAAGAGAAACCACTCGGTGAAGTAAATATTAACTACTGTTCTGTTGAAATTATCCATGCCGATTCATCAGGTGAGAAATGTGATATCGTTGAATGTAGTGAGAGTTTTAGTATAGTCATTGTCATTGTGTATTATAAGATTCACAACATCACAACATTATAAAACGATAATATATGAATTTAGAAACAATACTGCATGAACATTTCTGTCATTCTGGTTTATATTGCTGCACAAAATGTGTCAAGTCAACATATTTTTTTCTTAGCCTTGTGATATTCAATATTTAATTCAAGCTTGTTGTAAATAGGCCTACACTATATTTAATTAATTGTTAAATATGTGCGCAATAATATACTGTCCTTTATAAGTGAAGGCCAGTCATGTAAATTATAGGCAATCTGGGAACCCACCCTGAAAAGCAGGTACCGTAAAGTAGTACAAAATCATGTCTGTTATGGAAACAGTCAACTCGCCTCTTGCAATCTTGTCACTTGCAATCTCGCCTCCTTGACAATCTCGCCCCTTTCAAACTCGCCCGTTACAAACTAATATTCACTAAATATGCAATACGTTTGAGCCACTTGTAAAAAAGCACAGCCACTAGGGATGCATTTGTAACTAAAAAATAATTCTTTTTCAACATTAAATCCCATCCAAATTTAGTCACAACTGTAGAGCACCTAGACCTCTCCTCCTACTCTCATTTCTTTAAACACAAATGTTTGGTTTCCGAGATCGTACAGCGACGTAACATAGGGAAGGAATTTGGTACAGCAGTTTCATTAATTTTAAAACAAACAATTTGATTTACTAGTGGTTATGCTAAAGAAACATGAACCTCAGAAAAAGCAGATTTGCACTGGTCTGTATAAACCTCACTGAAAAATTAACTTCTCAATTCATTACTTATACACGCTTAATGTGCAATGCTTTAATGCTTCATCACTGAAAATGACACCTTTTTGAGAGGATGAAGAAACCCTTACATTCCCTGCTTATTATGGTTTAAGTACGGTACTTACTATAAAGGCCAGAAGCAATAATTTGGTTGAGCTTCTATTTAAATAGTATGAACTGAATAACTATGTTCTGTCTGTCATGGCAAACCATGGTTGAAATAAATCCTCCATGGACAAACTAATACAGTAATTGCTTCTGTTGTAGTTTTCAACGAAGCGTGACAGGAATGCACAGGCGTACACAATACGTAATCAAACAGCCTTTTCAAACTTGTTAATTCATCAAAATCATTTCAAACCTCTTAACGTTTGGCTTTCCTTCTACCTCAAGACCTACCATGGAGGTATTTTTTATACCTCCATGATCCTACAGTACTTGTTGGACCTTGTGCGTTCTAAAACTAACCAGTTCGCCAACCAAAGTTCTCGCATTGTATTACGCTATGATTTTTTTTGTGCTACATAGTATTCTAGTTATTATTGTTATAAATTAATTGATCATGATGACAACATGCTCATCATGATAACCACCACCACAACCACTATTATTATCATCATCATCATCATCATCATCATCATCATCATCATCATCATCATCATCATCATCATCCTTTTATCATCATCGTCATCCTCATGATTATTATATTTTTATCTCGTATGTTCAAATATTGTTTAAAATTGGCCGTTGGTAAGGTATGCCACCAGCAGACTACAGCAGTCTTAGTGCGAAGCTTTGCTGCAAATTTTGTTAGCTCATAATGAACTATCCGGAGTGGACGACAGGGACGTAAAGCGGCTCCCTCATTATTATCATCATTATTATGACCATAATCATTAACGGCATCATCGCCATACTCTGTGAACTTGAAATTATTCATAATCGTATACCTTGACGTTTCTATACTTCATGATATATTGTTTTGAGTCTGAATTCAGGTCCGTAGGCCCAAATCCCAAAACCTATGATTTCACAAAACCGTTCCTAATTATCATAAAAGGCTATACCATGCATTGCATTATATATTTGCCAGCTTATCTAACCGTTGATTTTTAATAATGTGGTATGAAATTTGTTAGAAATTGATCGTCTCCGGTGATTGCAGATTGATCTATATGTTGTAAATGAATGTTATCTATAGGCCTGCAGATGTACTAGACATAATAACGTTACTTTTTCAGGTCCCAAAAACACCCAAATTAATGAAAATTTAAATAAAATATTCATGAATTTTGTGTTTGAAAAATCTATTATGTAAGACCTCAAAATGCTACTTTGTCGCTTTTCCCACAAACCCCCTCCAAACCCCCTCCAGGCTTTTGCCCCTGGACCACCAAAGTCCACTTTTTAAAACAAATTATTTCACTAAAATCGTTCCTAATTATCGCGAAATGCTATAGTATGCATTACATTGTTTTGCCCGCTCTTCTACCCGTTGACTTTTAAGAATGTACTACAAAATCTGTTGGAAATTATCAGCTCCAGTGATTGCAAATTGATCTATGTCATCTGTAGGCCTATACAGACGTAAAGAACATGAAAAATTACAATTTCACAGTGGTGGATTCAAGGGGGGAGAGCTCCCTAAAATTATAAAAGAAATGGAGAAAAAAGAGAAATCATAATTGCCATTTCCGGCCATTTTGAGGTGCCATAATCATAAATTTTCTTACCTCAGCCTCAACCATGGTGGGGCTGAAGGGGTATTGACCATCTGTCTGTGCAAGTTCCTCCCTTCACCCCTACCCTCTATTTCTCCTGCTTTACTGTAGGTCCCCAGACAATACTCAAATGAATGAAAATTTAAATACGATATTACAAATGATGGATTTTAGAAATCCATTAAAAAAAGGCCCTCAAAATGCTAATTTGTCAGAGCTTTCAGAAGATTCGCCCCACCCTCGCGGGGATCCCTAGGCAGTCGCCCATCGTAAGGTCCACTTCGGTTGCATAACGCACCTCCCCATCGAAAATACTGCCTACGGGCCTGGAATTCTATATTTACAGTTTTCTAATGTTTAATTAATATAGGCTTACGCCTTGTATTTATTTTTATTTCCAACCATATTGGTCACCAACCGACAAAATCTTGATAATTTCTTTGGTAATTTCTTTTAATTGACACTATTGTAATTTTATTTAATTTTAAGTGTGTTTCTATATTTTCGAATTGAATTCTGAATATATATTTGGTTACGATATTATGTTACGCGTAACATGTATTGCATTAAAATTGTAAAAAAAAAAGTTAAATAAAGATATGAAATGGTTTTCAAATACGGGAAAAGTGGTAGTACAGAAAATAGAAAGCATGATGCTAATACCAAACCTTTTATATTTATTCCAGATTCCAAAGTCAAAAACAAGACTCGCTCCAACTTGTTCAGTGTGAAAACACAGAAGGGTAGACTATACATCTTTCAGGCTTCTAGTCCAGAAGAAAGGGAGTCATGGATACGTGCAATAATGTGTCCAGGAGATTTTCACTAATAAAATAAAGATTCGTGGATTTTTCGATGAATCGATGGATAATTTCTGCTTGTGTGTGAACGTAGTGTGTTAACGTGATTCTTTTGTCCTGTAGAATGTTGTAATGTTGTTTGTTTTCTTTTTCTTACTTCATAAATACATGTATTTCAGCCGTGAATAAGACTTACTGAAAAAAAAACAAAAAAAAAACAAAAAAAAAAAACCACTAATTTAGAGGGGGATTTTAGACTGATGATTAAGATGCTTATCTTCTAATTTCCTTGCATGGGACGTACCGGTACGAAAATGACCTTCACTTCCTTAGCTTCATGAAGGCAAAGTTTAATGAGCATTAAATTGTTCACACTTCGAGTGCCTATTGACTCAGAGATAGTTTGTTTGCACTAATAACTATTATTAGTGCAAAAAAAAGCAAATATATATAAAATTATATATGTAATATATAAACAAATTACCTATTTGTTTTTATTTATATATACAAATAGTCCTTTATAAAAAAAATATATAAATAAATAATCAATGATAGAAACTGTATTCAAATATATGTGAACATAATATCGAACATAGCCTATCAATGAAAATAGTATAGCTGTACACTTGTATAAACATATATCATCTTTGTATATTACTATATATTTTTATTCATAAGAGAATTTTTGTTTGCCGGTGAAATGTAATTTCATACATGAAAATTGCTTGCTGTGAAAAACTATATAAATTAGGCCACACTGCTTGCATCATATGATTAGGCCTACATATTTTGCTATACTGTATATACATTTTGTTATTAATTTCATATATTTATTTATTATTTTTTATTTTTGGTATTTCACTACCTTAGATAATTACTTTCTAGCATTTGGTTAATTTTGTTTAATTATATTGTATATATAATTAAGTTCGCTTTTGTGTCCCTGCCCACTTATTTAATGTATTGAATTGTATTCTGTATATGAACACATTTTTTTGCCGTATAAATCTGTGATGTTGCCTTCGAAATTGTGAAAAAAATTATGAGAAAGTAACCGTCGAAAAAAAAAATCTTTCAGATTGAATGACTAAATGTCTTGGGTCAGCCTCCGGAATAGAAAAACTAACATGAATGCAATGATAATGAAGGTCAAATGTTTTTTTGATACAATAGAATGTTTTAGTGTTTTGGTGATGTGAATAAAGCTTATATTGCTGGGAAGTACTTAACTTGTATTACTTTCATTTCATTTCATTTATTCGTCAGAAAGCAGAATACAAGTGTGACGAAAACGATAACAGTCAGATACGGTAAAAGCTAAGTTAAACAAACATGGGACAAAAGTAAACAAATACAGGATATAACAAATATAGGCTCCCAGCGAGAGCTTGTGTCTACTGATTGACATGTTTTTTTTTTTTGTTTCGTTTTTTTTTTGTTTTTGACTACTTTTAACTTATCAGTGATTTCGTGTTGTCAATTCACTTGAATAACTGACTGTACATACAGATTGTTGTGACATTTTAGTGAAATTTGTAGGACGGATCCTTTACATAGCAGCTTTCTGCGCAACAATTCAATTGATAACTTACAGGAGGTCTTATCTAGCATATTTCGTAAACTTGCTTTTCATTTTTATCTTTCTCATGACACATCCCATCATTCCTCCATCGGATTTACTCTCACAAGGTCAACTGCCAGACGATAATAAAGTGTCTGCACCTCAAGGGGACAGTAGACACAAGTGTTATATTGCACCCCCGGGGGGGGGGGCGTGAGGCAGTAGACAGAAAAGCAGGTTAACATAAAATATGAAAGTAGTGAATTATAATATTCAAAACAGTCAGGAAAATAACGTCATTTAAAAGGTACCGTATACATGCATATTCATTATAAAAATTAGTAATCTAAATTTTATACATTTTGAGTGAAATCAGTATAGTAAGCGAAATCATCATAAGAAAGAAATTACTGCATGTTTAATTTACCAAGCTGATAAAAGAAACGTTAATACAAGACCACAGAAATTAACAAAATAAGATTTTCTGTGTGAGAAGATGCAAAATTTCAATACAAAGACTACAGTTAAAAGTAAATTTGTACATACGCCTACTAGACCTTACTCAATCATAATAATCTATTAATAACAGTTATTGGCCTTAAAATATATTTAATTTTAATATATCCATATAGGCAATTTATCTGTAGAGTGGCACATCGTGTCCTGAAACTATTTAGTAATAAAATGTTTGATCAAATCATTTATTTCTGGAGTACCATTAAGCACTCTGCTGACCTTGGTGCAAATGCCAGCCCATATAAGCCTAGCCTATAATGCCTAGCACAGGGCTCGTGATCGCGGTGCCCTGACCATTAAAAATTAGCAGATGCACTGGGAAGCGTTGTTCACGGCATTAAACTGCACAGTGAAAAATAGGTACCTAAAAGGTACATGTGGTTACTGAGCTCATAAAAAGAAATACTGGTGTGTCGCTTTTCATGACCGTTCCCATGTTACATATCTCATATTCCAGTAGTACACTAGGCCTATCATAGGTCCAATGTCATAGTAAATTAACATTTTAATACAAAAAAAAATTAATAATAATAATAAATACATGTGTATTCATTGTATTATTTATTCATCTTAAAACTGTATAGGCCTACATTGTATTTAAAACCCAAATTCTTTAGTTACACAAAAGGTAATAATATACTCTTAATAGAGCCACGACACGGCGCTTTTTTGAGCATTTAGGGTAATTAAAAACATAATCTGAATCCACGATTTTGAAACAAGATAGCAATAAAGGCTTTTATCTTAATTATATGTCGGTTTATTACAGAAAAAATATTTTAAAAACTTTTTATCACTTGCAAATTGACACCTTATTGAACATTTCATACATTTTTGCCTGCAGTCTGGATGTTTAATTCTCTGAATGAAATTTTCCAAAATAGTTGTCTGTACTGAACACGATGGATCAATCAGCATACATTCTGTAATATTTTTTTCAGCCCATTTCTTGTGTTGAACTTTTTGGTTCCTGAAAGCTGTATAACTTTAGCTTTTATGGTTACGAGTTGAGTGTTGCTTACACTCGAATGCAAAGAATGTTTTGGGTTGATAAATTCCTAAATTTGGAATGCTTTATTTTAATGCTGGGTTTATATGAATATTGGTCCCAAAATCCCTCATCTTCACTGACTTTGGTTTTCAATAGTTCTGGAATTCAGCAGAAAAAAAATTTCTTGAAAATTGTCCGGAGTGGTATGTAATTGTAATTTGAAGTACTGATTTGTGTTTGTTTTTAACTGGAAATACAATATGAATGTAGGCTTCCCATGTCTTCTTTTTTTCTTTTGCCATATTTTTCAGTTCATTAACCTGAAATGATTAAGTATAAAATGCAAAATTAATAATTCATGGTGAAAAATTAGTGAAATATAAAAATGACTATAGATATTTCAATGAAGCTTTACATACCGTAAAGGCACCCTTGCAGTATTATTGGTTTACAATTTTGCTGCCCGTTTCATAATGAAAATTAATTTAAGAAATTTATATTGTTAGTAGGGCGTAGACCTAAGCTTATGCCTAGATACACTAGATAGGTCGTTTTAGCCAGATATGTTTACCTACCTAGCCTAGGCGGCCCTATAGTTTCATTAGCAATAGTCTTACTACTTGCCTAGCTACAACATGTTTTTTTTTAAACTTATATGTATAAACATGGCTGCTGAAATGACCGTAGTAGAACCGATAACTCCCTCGTAGAACTAGCACTAGCTACCTAACCAAAGTAGGCTAGGCCTAGTGCTATCTCATGAATAGGCTCTCCTCTCCTTGGAATGCCATCCTTGAAGTGCTGAATATTCTGAGATTCTGTAAATCCCCCAAGTGATGAGTGAGCGGTTAGCAGGGGCGCCGCAAGCTCATAATATCGGTTCGAACGGCACGCTCGCATTTGGTTCTGGTGGTAGAACAAGTCTTCTCGGATAAAGACTATAAACCGCAGGCCCAGTGTATACAATGGCTCGTGTGCACTATAAAGAACCCAGACATCCTTCGAGACGAGTAGGGGGATACCCCGGTGTACTGGAACAGACAGCCCCCGTGGTGGACGACGAGAGTTGCTGGTACTGGGTTACTGGGTAGCACAGACACGAAGGGACCCTTAGGGGCGAAGAAAGTCATTGATCGAGTTCCTAGTCCACATATCAAGCGCCCTGAGCATCTTATATTAGATGGATATGTGCTATATTATTATTATTATTATTATTATTATTATTATTATTATTGTTATTGTTATTGTTATTGTTATTGTTATTGTTATTATTATTATTATTATTATTATTATTATTATTACTATTCCTATTACTATTATTATTATTATTATTATTATTAATGGAACAGGCCCACGTCACGCTTGGCTGACTAGTTTTGATTTACATTTCGCATGTATGTCTTGTGTTGTAAAATGTATTTCAAACCAGTCATGCTTGGCTGGTTTTGATTTACGTTTTGGAACAGAATTTGGAGAGGGCGTTTGATCAGGTCAGACCTACATTTTGAATTTGAACTACATTTTAAAGAAATTAGAACTACATTTTGGAAATATGAACTACGTTTTGAAAAAATTAGAACTTCATTTTGGAAAACTAGATCTACATTTACGCCTACGTTTTCATAAATTAGACATTTAATTTTGCAATTACATTTTGATTTTAACATGGACTTTTGCTGCGTATGGCACCCCATGTAACAGCTTGATTTTCGATGGGACTTCAAAAAAAAAAAAAAATCGCAAGTTGTTCTCGGTGGGACTCGAACCCACGATCACCAGATAACTAGCCTAGCATCATACCTATAGAAATCTTTTTCCCCCCTTTTTTTTACTCAATTTTTGTTTTCAAAAAAATTACAAAATTACACCTATCTATACTTGATTCTCCTGACGCAAATCCAGTTATTGTCTATTCCATCACGACAATAACAATTTACTATCACCCTGGTTTTTATACGTAATTAAACATTAGGGCCATTAAACATTAGGGTCGTTTGTTGTAATTCTTAGAACGTTAAAAAAACTCACAATAATAATAATAATAATAATAATAATAATAATAATAATAATAATAATAATAATAATAATAATAATAATAAAGGCTCTAAGAGCCCACATTACCATGATCTTGGTGTCAATATCTATATTCTTTAGTTCAAGGAATTCAATAAAACATTATTAAAATACAATACCATACATTTTTATCGTGAAAATGCAAAATTAAATAGAATATTCAAAATGGCCGCCAAAAAACACAAATTTGGCAGTTTGAAGGCTTTTAGTGTACATATTACCATAATCATGGTGTTAATACCTATGCTCGTTAGTTCAAGGAAATCAATAGAACGTATATAAAACACCATAGCATACATCTTTAGTGTAAAAATGCAAAATAAATATTCAAAATGGTCGCCAAAAATCACGTATTTAGTATTAATATGACTGCGAGTGCTACCATGACCTTTTAATGTCCACACCAATGCTTTAGTTCAAGGAACCCAATTAATCATATGAAGTAATATATATATATACTATATGTATATATGTGTATATATGTATATATATATTTATATATATTTATGTATATATGTGCTGTCTCTTAT